TGGGAAACCATTGGGTAATGGTTTTCTGGGAAACAATTTTAATTAAGTAAATAGAAAACAAAGCACATGTTAATTTTTTAGATTTAGGACAGTATTTCTTACAATGTGGTCCTGAAATCCTTTGCATCAGTTGTTTCTGTTACTTATCAAAATGCAGATTTCCCATTCTACTAAATCAGAATATGAAGATGGTCCTGAGTAATTTGTATTTTTAAAAATAAACTCCAGGTAATTCTTCTGAGATTCTTTAAGAACCACCAGTTGGGGAAGAAAAGTTTGGAGTTTAGAAATTCTTGCATAAGATCTTGTCCATTCCAATATTTATTCAATAGAATCAGAATTCTTTTCAATTGTATGAGTTCAAAATAAAATACACAGTATTTTCCTTCATAGGTAAATCAAAATTAGAGGATCGGGCTTCACTGTTATGTGGTTTTAAAAGTTTAAATTTGAGAGTCATTGAAAGAGCAGACTCAAGTGGTCAGTACCATTGCTGGGAATAGTGATAGGGTAACTGTGTAGGTGATTAGTTTTGGGTAGAAAACAGCTGTCATCAGTTCCATTTCTCCCAGGATATCCTTTGGGTCGATTGGTTGCCTAAATCAAAGTATAGCAGAGTTCCTAACTCTTAATAAAACAGGCCTTCATGGAGAGCTGTAATACTCTAGAGTATTAGAGTCAGATACACCTGTCAATATGTACTGTGGTCTGAATCCATTCATATGTTGAAATCTAATCTCCAAGGTTATGGCATTAAAAAGTAGGGACTTTGGAAGGTGATGAGGTCATAAGATCTTAACCCTCAAGAATGAAATTAGCGCCCTTATAGAAAAAGACCCAGCGGGCAGTCTTGCCTTTCCACCTTGTGAGGTCACAGCTAGAAGGTTCCATCTGTGAGGAAATAGGCCTTACCAGACACTGAAGCTGCCAGTGCTTTGATCTTAGAATTTCTAGCCTCCAGAACTGTGAGCAATAAATTTGTTGATCAGTCACCCAGTTCATGGTATTTTGGTACAGCAGCCCAAAGAGACAGATATTTTTTGTCTAGACGACTTAAGTGACTTAAAACCTTAGGTTCTTCTTTTGTAAAATAGGAATAATTACACTA